ATATATATATATATATATATATATATATATATATATGAGATGATTACGTCAGTGTAACTCACAGCCATCGATGCCGGGAATCAATTTCGTCTCTGAATATTACTATTTTTTAGTTCTACTGTATATACTGTGTTGATTGCTGTAAAGTTGATTAATATAGTACATTTGGGAATTGTCAGCTTTATTAATGTATTCTCAGCTTTATTAATGTATTCTTATGGTAGAGAGAGAGAGAGTATGGTGAGAGAGAGAGAGATCCTCCCTCCCTCCCTTTTATCAATTTATATTCATCCCATCGCTTTTATATCATCACTCTTTATCCTCATCATCGCTTCCCTCCCCTCGATAGCTCCCCTTCCTTCCTCTTATTCTTCCTCTCCACTCCCATCACTTTTCCCTTCCTCGATCTGTCCTCTGTTCACCATCATTCCCACATTCTTCGCCTCCCCTTTCGCCACTCCCTCTTCCCCCTCTTCCTCAACACTTATCCATCCACCTCTCCCATTTACCGTCTCTCCTGCATCGCCTTCTCAATCCTCTTCTTCCTTCATTCAGTTATTATTTCCCTTCGTTTCCCCTCCATATCCGTCCCTCTTTTTTTCCCAGCGTCTCTCAGTTCTTTAATTGTGTCGCTCCTTCATCACTTCATTGTCACATTTTCCTTTTTCTTCTTCTACTTCCATCATCGTTCATTCCTCGTCTCCTCCCTTCCTTCCCCCCCCCCTTATCGTTTTTCGTATTCTCCCTCCACCATTTATTCTCTCCTCTCTCTCTTATCCACAATGTCCTATATTGTTTTCTCTTCCCATTCTCTTTCCTCTCCCCTTCCTCTTTTCTCCACCCCCCTTCACCACCACCCTTTCTCCTCCTCCTGTTCCTTCCCATCCCCTATCCATCTCCTTCTCCACCTTTCTCCTCACCCGCCGCCTCCCCTGGTTGGGTCAATTAGCAGGCCTGGTTGGCAAAGTCCCGTGTCTCGCCGCCATTCATAACAGACTGGTGAATTAATTATTATGATTTGTTCGTGTCGTGCAAGTCGCAGGGCCGCATAACCCACACTGAATTACTTATTAGTGACTTACTGGGTTATTTATACCCCGCCAGTACCCCCGCCCTCTTGGCCTACGGGGCTGGTGGCGTCCTGGTCATAACCTAACCTAGTCCTCACGTTTTTTTACTTGGTATACATACATACATACATACATATTCCGTATTTTACCTGGTTTTCTTACGTACATACATACATACATACATACACACACATACATTACATGGCCTTCACTGTAACCCCAGGGGAGATGTATTGTGAGTTGTGATTCTGTAACATACTCCTGTAACATACTCGTCATTTGTCAAAGGAAAAGTTTGTATATTTAATTAATTATACAAGTTTGTGTGTGTAAGACCTGACATGGAGTTAACAAAATGAAGTTAGCTTAAATATTAGTTCCAGGTGGCGGTAGAATGTGTAGTGGGTGGTAGAATGTGTAGGGGATGGTAGAATGTGTAATGGTTGGTAACATATGTAGTGGTGGTTCTGGTAGAATGTGGAGTGGAGGGGGCTGGTAGAAAGTGGGCTGGTAGTGGAGTGGAGGGGGCTGGTAGAATGTGTAGTAGAATGTGTAGTGGAGGGGGCTGGTAGAATGTGTAGTGGAGGGCTGGTAGAATGCTGGTAGAATGTGTAGTGGGGCTGGGGTAGAATGTGTAGTGGAAGTGGGTGTAGTGAAGGGGCTGGTAGAAAGTAGTGGTACTGGTAGGATGTGCAGTGGGGCTGGTAGAATGTGTAGTGGATGGTTTAATACGTATGGGATGGGGCTGGTAGAATGTGTAGTGGAGGGAGCTGATAGAATGTAGTGGATGGTACTGATAGAATGTGTAGTGGATGGTATAATATGTAGGGGGTGGGGCTGGTAGAATGTGTAGTGGATGGTACTGGTAGAATGTGTAGTGGATGGTACTGGTAGAATGTGTAGTGGATGGTACTGGTAGAATGTGTAGTGGATGGTACTGGTAGAATGTGTAGTAGATGGTACTGGTAGAATGTGTAGTAGATGGTACTGGTAGAATGTGTAGTGGTTGGTACTGGTAGAATGTGTAGTGGATGGTTAATATGTAGGGGATGGGGCTGGTAGAATGTGTAGTGGATGGTACTGGTAGAATGTGTAGTGGATGGGGATGGTAAAATGTGAAGAGAATATAATGCTGACGGAGATTTAGACAGCAAAAAGCATAATAGGTGAAGCCTGCCTGCCTGTCTGTCTGTCTGTCTGTCTGTCTGTCTGGGCTTAAGATCTGTCCGACAATCCAAGTATACCGAAAAAATAAGACTATACATTTATTTCTTACGCCACCAGCACTGAAGACCCACTCTCAAGGTCAACTCAGAGCTAACGTAAAACTAACTTTAGCGTTGAACTGAGAGAATTGACTTCGACGTTGATTTAGTCATATTGTATAAATGTTTGGGTAGATACATCTTGGCTCTTGTGCCGTTGTTTTGTTTTCTAAAAAGCTTGATTATTATCAAAGGATTATTTCGGTGAATTTACCCCGTATCTGAAGAGTTCTTAAGGCCGCAGATAACTGGATGGGTATAGTGAAAATAACATACAATCCGGCATCTAAATTAGCCTTAGACTCTACCATAAACAGATAATACTTCCACTTTACCCTCATTCGGAAACGAAATTAAGATACTGAATCTTTTTGTGAAGGTAGACTGTAGAGTTGTAATACAGGTAGCTGTTGTGTTTAATTAATTATCTGATAGAAAGTTATGTCGACTGACTGGGAGGGGGACGAGTGACACTACCACCCGTATCTTTCTTTATATACTTTAAAGTCTTAAGTATCGTTATAAAAGCCGTGATCAGGTTTATGAGTATTTGTTTTTGTAAACGTAAACTTGAGTCAGCACTTAGGGTGGTAAAATGTGGGGCCCCGCCGGACATACCCCGAGTAAGAGGGTAATAAAGATCCACTATCTGGCATGTTTTAGGCCGGGGAGGAGGAGCTGGTGTTGTCCGGCTGTACTCCATAAAGTATCCCTCACAAAGGATAAGGCGGTAGAAGGGCCCAGGTTTTGTGCCTTAGATGGGACGTCCTGCTGTACTCAGTTTTGAAGCGGCGACCATTAGAAAAGAAAACAGCGTCGTTTAGTAGGCCTTGGGTTATTGTCTGCGGCAGCAGTCCCTTGTTATCACTAGAAACATCTGTTCACACAAATATCCTCGTATATAGCATAGTTTAATAATAATAAATAATTATGATAATAATAATAGATTAATAATAATAATAACAAATATTGATTATAATAAATATAAAATGTTACTACTACTAATAATAATAATGATAATAACGTTAATAGTAATAATAATAAAATTAATAATAATAATAACTTACAATTCATTTCTGAGAGGGTGTACAGTACAGGTAGTTGTGACCCGGAGTACAGTGAACAGAATACAATATGTTACATTAGCCTTTACTTTATAAACAAATGTGGTGAAGATGTTGGAAATTTTTTTTTAAAGTGACCAAGTCAGACATCCATCATTTGCTGCTGTTTATTTTCTCTGATGTAAAGCATTTGATTTAGAGATTTATTATATCGAATAAGTGCTGCCTTTGACAGTCGCTTAGGATGTACAGTATACTATATATGACAGTGGGTGTCATGGGCCTGACTTCCAGTTTGGGGTAGTGTGGATACAGTACACTGAAGACTAAACTAAGGTACTCTGTATAAAAAGTATCTTTCAGGAGGGGTCCGATGAGTTTGGAACGGAACAATCCTTTTGTCTGTCTTGGGTTGGTAGGCGTGATAGTGAAACATTTCCTACCTATTCTGGTAGGCCTAATTTCGTTATTTCATTCAAAATATAAAATAAGTTCGTTACATTATGATTTGTGAATAACAGTATGCCTTATGAGCCTTTATCAAAAACCTTCATTCGTGTTGTCATTTTGTTTAGCATAAGAATTGTAAAGATACTTTTTTACCCAGTGTACACAAGGACAGCGCGGCCAACACTGCCTTTCACTTTCCCACTTGTGATGTTAGGTATCCATTATACAGCTACATCACCCGAGGGCGCCGCGCTCAGTCGTGGGCAGATTTATTTAAACCCAAAAGTTTATATCTGAATGGACAGTTGGCTATCGCAGCCGCCAGTAATAAAACCGCAGCCTTTAGGCCCAGGTTCTGTCCTTGGATAAGACGACCCGTCGTGCTGTGATGTAACAGCCGCCAGATACACTACAACACTATTTAGGCGAGATATTTTGATTATATTGACACTAAAATGTTCTGAAAAGGAAACATCATTTGGCTCAGTGTTTGCGCCAAGGTCCGGTATATAGGAGTAAGAGTACGGAACCAGAAAAGGAAAGTCGTTGGCCCTCTGTGTTTTGTGACGGTGTACGTGTGGGTGATAACGGTACGTGTGGGTGATAACGGTACGTGTGGGTGATAACGGTACGTGTGGGTGATAACGGTACGTGTGGGTGATAACGGTACGTGTGGGTGATAACGGCTATCCCTCCACGCCGGTGGTGGTATTCCTGGCGGCGGTAACGGTGGAGCCCGGGGCGAGTGTTGCTTGTGTCTCATGCACAGCTCCCTCCACAGGGCCTCACTGCCGGAGACTCTCCCCGTTCATACTCTACGTTTAATCTTTTAAATATACATATTTTAGACCATTTACATGTATTTTGTGTTTATTTTTTGTGTTTCATCGCTATTCATTTTCCATTAATGTCACACAATTATTATGATAATGCTAACAATTGGAGGATTCCTTCTGTGTGGAATACACATAACAAAGGTTTAGAAAGTTGCCATTATGAAATGGCATTTGTTGTTAGTTTTATGAAACTGTTGTGAAAAATATTATTGTTGGAATTATTTTAGTGAAAATTGTCAATTAATTTTTTTTTTGTTTTTTTGTTTTTACGATGACGTAGAAAAGTATTGCAACGGATTTTACCCAATTTTCCAGAGTACTCACAATGGTGGTGACCCCGAGAGGCTGTGGTCGGGCCGGGGGGCAGAGTTACCTTGTTGCAGGAAGTGTCAACAGCAGCAGTAAATTTCCCATAGTGCACGAAATGAAATTCTTCTCTGTTTATAAAGTGGAAAACGAGGTACTTGACTGTGATGAAGTGAGTGATGTTGTTGGGTCATAAGGCCGTGATCAGCTGGTCATGAGGTACGTTACCCTACTCAAAAAAGTATGTTACTTCTCTTCCGGGATTAGCTAGGAGGTTCACGGTTAGCGGTGTAATGATTTTGGAGCTTGTGTGTGTGCAGAGCTTACCTAAATAATAACTAAAGAGACGAAAAATATCAATACCATGCTAACTCTGAACCTGTAAAGCGATCCCTTATTTATGTTCTGGGGCTCACCTGGGACAAATTATAGAATCTGAAATGAATCTGTTAGTATGACATTAATGACGTCTCCTGCACTTATACCCACGGACTCTTACCTACTGTGAACGGCTGACCTACCCTTTAATCACCTCACGTTTGTCTTATCTCTCATTCACACCTTCCTTCCCTTTTCCTTCCTGTACTTTATCTGTCAATGTTGCCGTCCTCCCTTCTTCTTTCCTCTGCTCACACTCTTCCTCTCTTACTTCTCCCCTCCTCCCTCTGCTTACCTACCTCTCCCCACCCTCCCTCTGCTTACCTACCTCTCCCCATCCTCCCTCTGCTTACCTACCTCTCCTCATCCTCCCTCTGCTTATTTACCTTTCCCCCTCACCACCACCATCCTTCGGGAAGCGACCCATAGAAGTTGAAGAGGAGGGGGGCGTTGGCTTCATTAGGGACACTTCATAATGACCTTATGACCGATGGCCGCTCTCCTCTCCTGTCCTCTTTCTTCACCACGGGCGTTCCGGGTCCACAGTAATGGAAATAAAACGAGCTGAAGTCTATTACGTGGGCGGCAAAGAAGTTTGCGGAGAAGGGAAGATGGGCAGGTGGGTGGGTGAGGGTGGGGATGGTGGTAGAGGGGATGGATGTACAAGGGTCACGTTACATCCCACAGACACGGTTAATCCTATTGTGAGTCATTTGTTTCATCCTCGTATTATAATATCCTGCTTTTTTATCCCACCAAATAGGCCTCGTGATTGCTGGTGAGGATTATTTCCCCGTCTCTCTTTGTGAGTTCTGGCCAGAGACAGACAGACATATTCATTGTTGTCTTAGTGAGTGTCGTAGAGTTTTAACTGTTTACTTCATTCCAGTTACGGCCAGATTCTTCTTCGTCGCAGCTCTAGTATCTTGTGTTTGTTTGGCTTAATTTCACAAAACTATCATTGCGGGGTATAAAATGAACGCCAGACGCTGCTGGCTCTTTCTGGCGCAGATATTACATTACGGCACTTGTAAAGCCTTTGAGTGGCAGCAGTCGGCAACTGATACCATCCTCGTCGTGAGTGATGATACACTCTGTGTTAACTTGTGATATTGAACGTCTCCGCAGGCCGTAGCGAATAAGGGTGAGTAATACCTGGTTATTGACTGCGGCACGTGGCAGAAACGCCTGTGTGTGTGTGTGTGTAACAGCCTTCACTGTATTAACTACCCTAAAGGTATAATTATTTTGATAGTTTACTCCCGGCTTTATTACACCAGACTACAATTAAATGGTAATTGGCTGTAAATGTAACGATGATACTAAATGTAATGTGACTCTGTAATGCATGATGTTTAATTTGTTATATATTGTTATATATTCTTATTTATTTATTATTGAACCTGTTACACACACACACACACACACACACACGCGCGCGCGCGCGCGCCACGAAAGCTGTCTCCCTTGTCTAGTCAATAATGACAAGACTAATGCTGTACACTTATATGGTGCTTGTGGTCCCTGACGTGTTAGCGTGGTTAGTCCTTGGAACACAACACCCTGAGAAACTATATCTGTTGAAGAAGAACTTGATCAGGCTGTGTGTGTGGGGGGGGGGTTGGCTGTTACGACATATCCTTGGGAAAATAGCGGGGTATCTCGTGCTGCCCCAGTTTCGACATTGCCCGGAGTTGAAACTAATGAAGTGTATTATGCTCTTGCTGGCCTAGACGGGGTACATTATGTAACAGTGTTGAGTGTTGGCACGATGTTTGTACTCCAGCCTGGGTGTATAGTTATTTATAAGTGTTTTTCTCTCTCTTCTCCAAATTTCATGGTGTTTATAGCGAGCATTATTTACCGGGGAGGTGTATCACTTATGATGCTCGACGGGATATCCTTATCCAGAAAATAGTTATTGCACCAATCTTTATGCTAATTTTATTCATCGCTGCCTTTATCGCCATCCTTAGTTTCCCACGCCACGTCCAATATTAATATCCCTCCTCTGATAAAGTCATAAATATTGCCAATACTGCTCCTACTATGCACCTCCGCTACTCTTTTGTTATAAATTAATGCTCTTCGTACTTTCTACTTGTTTTTAATGAGGAATATTTCAAATTCCCGCCTTCTTTAACCTGACTGATTGATGTTTTTCTTGCACGATAGATTTTTTTTTTCTGGGTGTAGCTTAACGCAGGCAGTGATCAACTCTCGGTCACTCTTATTATTTAGTGCACTGCCGGTTGTCTCTCACACACTTCACGATGGCCTTGGTGGTGCCGCAGATTATGTCGTTATTATCTTGGGTAATGTAATAACTGCCAGTTCTCGTCGATACAATTTCCATTTATTCATCAAACGTGAATTATGTTGGCAGATAGGGGGTGAGGGGGAAGTCGTTATAGTTAGGATGAATTAATGATGTGTCTCCATAGAAAGTCAGAATCGGTGACTGATGATCATTCTGGGTAGAATCATTTGTCTGGGTATTGTAAGGAACAAAATGAGTAAATGTATATTTGTTGAGGATATTTAATCAGCGTGTTCGTCTTAATCTGGATCACACTAAGTTGATCAAAACTTTGTCCAACTTATCTTATTTCTTCCCAACTCTTCATGTCTTTATTATTAATTTAGGTGATCGCCTTTACCTGTCTCGGATTGCCTTAGTGAGAACAAACTTGGGTAAGTCCTCTGTAAGCTGAGAAGACTTTCATCCACCGTGTTGTTCAACAGCCTGTGTTAGTGTTGGACTCCCTCAGTTTATAGTTGTTGTCATCTCAGTTCAGGAATCAGGACTGAATTTGTCCGTCTGAATGTCGCCATGTCGCTTGCTTGTATGTTTTATCTTATATATATATATATATATATATATATATATATATATATATATATATATATATATATATATATATATATATATATATATATATATATATATATATATATATATATATATATATATATATATATATATATATATATATATATATATATATATGTATATATATATATATATATATATATGTATATATATATATATATATATATATATATATATATATATATATATATATATGTGTGTGTGTGTGTGTGTGTGTTTGTACACTTGACTGTGTAGATTACTTGGAAAATGATCGCTTAGCACTCACGAATCTTCCAGGAATCTTTCCCAGGAATGAATTACTCCGTAAACGTTGTCTTGCGTGTGTGAATGTTTACCATCCAGAAATAATAAGAAAAACTCGTAGTTGGGAGAGATAATCAACCGACCTCATGTAGCTTGTTAAGGTTAACCAGAAGTCTAAAACACATCATTAAGCAAGTAGACCGGACAATTAACCAGAAAGTGTGTTGTAACGGGAGAATTCGCCATACGTCGTCTTGTAGCAGGGAAGAATTATCTGGAAAACGTTACGTAGTTGAAGAGAATTAACCATAAAACGTTGCCTAGTCGCAAATAATGACAAAATGTCTTAAATGTTTCATTGTTCTTTAAAAAAAAAAAGTGGAGGAAGGGGTGTGACGGAGGCTGGAGCGGAGACAACCCACGGGCGGCTGTTTTACAAGAGCTTATCCAAGAACTCTTTACTGTGACAGCCCCCAGCAGCTTGGCCAATACATCTCGCCCACATTCCCTTTTGTCCTCCTCAGTATATTTAGAAATGAATAAGCTAAAATATGTTAACAAGAACCCCTTCCCGGGCTTGTCCATACATTACTTCTCACTCTTACAGTCGCCAAGTCCGTCCACAAGGAACCCTGTTCTTATGTGTGGGGAGATGCACTAGTCCTGATTATTAATAGTACGCAAATTTCAATATAACCTTTCAGCGTATAAGGCGACTATTCCTTCACTTCTATAGTCAGTACTTCATTTATATCAAGTCCACTATTATTCCTCCATTCAATCCAAGTTGTATTACTCGCCATATCGCGCCTACAGAGTAAGTTCCATTTAGTCCGACTCCATCATGGTTCACTTCCTTCACCCAGAACTCACTTTCCATCCACACTTTTAATTGCAACTTTTGAAAGGCAGGATTCAATACTCTTCTCACACTGCACAGTTAAATCAAGTTACTCGGTCTCGCTACCCTCTGGTGTACCAGTCGAGGCGAGCTTACTATAGTTCCCTCTAATGTGTAGCAAAACCCTTGTGAGGACACCCCCGTCCATCACACCGTAAAGTTACTTTGCCCCATTATGTACAGTACAATAATGCATTTTGTAATTCTGTATACTTGTGGTATATATATAGATATATATATATATATATATATATATATATATATATATATATATATATATATATATATATATGTGTGTGTGTGTGTGTATAAAGTTGCTTTTAAAGACAACCACAAGTATACAGAATTACAAAATGCATTATTGTACTGTACATAATCTGAGTGAGGACCAATTTAGCGGACGAGACCTTATAATTTAATCTTGATATGCTAACGTCAGAGCTTGACGCGGCGGCACAAGTAAATTACATGATTATTAATATTTTATGATTAAGTGAGTACGTCAAGTGCAGGACAAAAAGTGACACTTATAATGGTATCTTTGAAACTATGGGAGACCATCCCTGTTTTGTTCGTGTTTAGCCAAGAGTATTGTGGAAATAGGAAAACGCTGCAGCTAAGAGAAAAAGCTGTCTAATTAAAGATCATTGAAGCACGAACAAATATGTACACAACAAGGCTAAGTCTTATTGTGCGTGAGAGTTAAGTGCACTCCATTACCTGATCCATAAAAACTGTTGTGAATAATCTCTTAAACACAACGTAGGCAACACGTGCGGGTGCAGGTGTGGTGCACATGAT